GCTGGGGTCCTCTGAGGCCCGCGGCGCTCCGGAGGCCGGGCTGTCCGCTGCGCTGCCTGAGGCGCGCCCGCCGCGTCCGGAGCCCAGGCGTGCTTCCGGAGGGCAGAAGAGGGGAGAGTGGGCGGGGCTTCTGCCTGGCTCCTCCGGACAGGCATCGCCAGAAACAGCCCGCAAAAGGGGCCTTCGGAGCAGGTGGGTCTGACGGAGGAGGAGGCGGGCTTGGAGGCGGTGCGGCTCAGCGGGGCTGATAGCTTATGCATATGTATTTCTTTCACACCCAGCAACAGATGGGCGGGAATACTTCACAGCAAAAGCGTATGCATAAAAATCCAGGTGCAGAAGATTGTAAAAAGATTGCAGTCTTCGCGTACAAGTAGGGAACAATGCATTCGTATTTGCAAAAAATACATGGGAAAATTGAAATACGTATGTAGGACTGTGTGAGTCGGAGATGGATTGGGAACGAAAATTTTCTCCAGGTAGATCTTTTTAATTTTGACATCTTCTCTGTGTGATTGTATTACCTATTTTTAAATTACATAGTTTTTTTTCGACGTGTGCGGTAGGAAATTTCTCTTCCCCTCAACACCTTCCTCTAATTCCCCTTCGCTGAAGCAAGCACTGTAACCGTTTCTTCTTTGTCCTTGAAGGTTTTCCATACACGTACCCAACAATTACAAATGTGTTATCAACCAAAAGATAATTTATTGCTTGCTTTGTGCCAGAGGTTATTCTAAACTCTTTACATGAATTATCATACTTAATTCTCGTTATATTCCTGTGAAGCAGATACTATTGTTATCTTATTATGGTAACAGAGTTTAATTGACTTGCCTAAGGTCCTGTGCCCCTAGTAACTGTTGACGCTGGGAACCAAATGCTTTGCCTTAATCACTGTTGTTATAACCTACCCAGTATCTAACAATAATAGTTGTTAGGGGCTTTAAATGCCTTATCTGGCTTGACCCTTACATCCCTACTGTGTGACAGGCTAGAAAAACTCAGTTTTAGCAACTTGCCTCAAAACGAGATTTTTTTTTTTTTTGACTGTGTACCTCTCTGACAATCATGTGCCATTTTGTGGTCCAAAAATCTGGGCAATAGAATCTCACGATGGTGGGTGGGGGAGTGAAAACAATAATAGGTAATGTTTATTAAGACTTAGTTCCTGCCAGATATGTTCTTAGCATTCTTTTTGTGTATTAACTGAGTTCATTCAAATCCAAATTTATTTTTTAAATACTGCAATATGCCTCCATACCAACTCAAAACAGATGTGACTTTCAAAATTCTAGCAGGAACAGGAGTTTACGAAATCTTTTATTTATTTATTTTTTTTTGAGAAATCTAAGGTGATTTTTTAAAGCATCCCCTGAGTATCTAACACCTATCTCTGAAAGTTAGGAAGATTACCAAAAGTGTGTGCAAAAGATTACTTTCTGTCTATGAATCTGACTATTCTAGTTACCTCATATAAGTGTAGTCTTAAGATACGTTTGTCCATTTGTGTCTGGCTTATTTCACTTAGCATAATGCCTTCAAGATTCATCCAAGTTGTAGCATGTGTCGGGAAAATAGCATAGTTTGGTCAGAGCCCTCGCCTCAGGTCCAATTGGGTGTGGTTTTAGCAAACCACATCCTTTGTAAGCAAATCGTGTGTGTGTGTGTGTGTGTGTGTGTGTGTGTGTGTGTGTGTGTGTGTGTGTGTGTGTAG